CCCCTCAGCACACAGCGCAAACTAAGTTCATTTCCCAGGATACTAGAGACGCTGCAACAAACAAGGGAGAGTCCTGAATCACAATTCACGAAGCAGCTACTGTCCAGGCTACACTGGCTACAACAAGCTCATCAGAGCTATCAGCACATGGTAAAATTTCTTATGTATTAAACTATTCATAGATGAAGATCTTAGAACACTTAGAAGATTCTGCTTCAAGAAAACCTAGCTATATTTCTAAGTTTCATTCTTTCACAGGATATATTCTTGGGTGAGATCTTTGGTGCTGTTCTCTTGAGCAGTGATCATTCCATTCTGAAGCCTACCTTCAAAGAAAAGCACATCAGGGTCGTTGCTGAAGGTGATGAATCCATAGATGGACAAATTGTGATTGATAAGAGGCAAGGAAAATCCATTAAAGTTTTGAGAAACGTTATTCCTGTGGCATACTATGATCTATTTGCAAATCGATTGAGTGATAAAGAGCAGTCTGCTGTATTAGGAAGCTATGATGAACAGACAAAAATCTGGAGTAGCCCCCCTTCAAACCAAGAAATCTCAGATAACTGAGATAAGGCATTGGATGATGATCAATTACTAAGAATAGAAACTGGTTCTTTTTTCTTGATAGGTCAGAAGTTTCGGTTATGTTTTGATATTCTTCAACACGGAATCATGCTTCAAATAGAAATGGTTTATGGTGGGCTTTGTAAACATATCAATAAAGAGGTTAAGAACAGATGCCATAGAAAACAAGAAGAATCATACCAATGAAAAATTGTCCCATATTTTATTCCTAGAGCAAATTCTCTGCAAACTTGTAGTTCATGTCAATAAAATACTTAAAGCTGCAAAACTTCAATGGAGTGGTTCAATAGTTAAGAACTTGAAATTTTAAATTAGAAATCTCAAATTAGAACTTTGAATTGAGTGAGTAGGTATTTGAGAATATGAAAGGGTTATCTCCTTTATACCTAATCTCTCGTCCCAAACCCGACTAAGTGTTTGATTGACCTACTTTTTGAAAATATCTTTTATTATCGTAACAGCCGAATAAAATGCCATTTTCTAAAATAAGTCACGATGATCCTTTCGAAAGATTTATTTTCCTCAGCGTTGTTGGTGGTTGGGATGTCAACAATGTTGCTTCTTTTGTTCTTTCTTTTCCTTTTTTCTCCTTAATAGCATGGGACTTGATGATTATTTGACAAGGACCAATGTTTAGTGGGGTTTATGCTTCTTTTTCCCCTTTTTTTGTTTTTTTATTTTTTTATTTTTGAAGTAATGAAATTGACACAAGAAGTTTTCCACATCTCCATACCTTTGGCAGAAGACAAAGACAGCCACAACAGATTATGATTGACACAGTAAGAATCAAAGCTTCACAATGGATAACATACCTCAATTATATTAGCAATAGACTTAATGGTTTTTTTGTTTTTGTTTTTGTTTTTTTTTTTTCAATCTTTCTTTGTCTCTGCACACATAAATGCCAAAAAAAAAAACAGAAATGAAGCCACGACCAATTACAATAATAACAATGATATCAATAATCCTGGGCAAGATGCTAGGCTAACGGCTTTTGTTCCTGGAAACTGAGCAAAGTTTAGTTTCTGAATATGTAACCTTGTGAAACAAGTGATATCGACAGCGGTCACACCTGATTATTCCCAACTATTGATAACTTTTCATGCATGATACAGTGCAAGGTTTTGTAGCTAATTCTCATGACACAATCAATCGTCAGTATAAACCATAGTCTAAGTTATTGCAGAGCCGTCTAAGCAATACGTAGCATTTTCAAACTAGCAGCTTAAGTACTTTGCTAGTCTGACAAAATTCACATGAAGAAAGAAAGAAGGCAGCAACAAGAGAGAAAGATGAACAGAAAGGTTTTTCACAGCTTAGGAGTGGAACTGGCCGGAAACCTTTTCCCCTTCATTCATAGAAGTCATACAAGCACAAGATCAACAATCGGAAACAAGAACCTTATATGGTGCACAGAAGTCGATCACCGAAATATTATTTATGCTACTCTACAAACCACTCAACAATCCTGCTTTCCCTTTCTGTCCATGGTGTTAAAAGCTCATTTCCATCGAAGGAACTGACCCACCAGCTGCCACAATTTGCTGCTCGAGCTGCAATCAATAACAACCACTTCAACAAGCTGAAATTAAAATTAAATATACACTTTTTAGATAGAAGTCTAATATACTTACCCTAAACATAGTTTCAAGTTTGTTCTTCACAAGGTAATACTCTTGTTTCACTTGTTGCAGACATCTCAGGCACCTGATATTGTTAAATTTCTTTATTAGACAACATAATCATGAATGAGATTCAAGTTTTCTAGGGTGAACTGTACATTAAAAGGACAGTCCGTCCTATTATTTTATTAAGGGTATTTAAATAAATTCATAGGACGGACTGCCCTGTTAATGTACAGTAGTATCCTGTAAAACACTTTTGATCATGAACCACAAGGTAAAAACTAAAAACCAATAGAAGAGGAAAATTTATGAAAAGTAACTCACGCTTCAGTGTTCTGTTCCTCACAGAAGTTGCGGAATGCAATGCAGGCATTCTTAACTCTCTGTGCACCTATGCTGTAAATAACAGAAACCACTGACTCCATAAAAAATTCAAAACACAGTGAACAACGTGGGAAACACTTGCTTTCTAAATTTTATTTCTTTTTTTTTTTTAATCTTTATTTTTCAAAGAATATGATTCTCCGATCTGCGCAGAAACAGACCTATTTTCTTAGAATGAATCCACCTTTTACAGCATGAATACATATTCAACCATAACAAAATCAATAAATAAACAAACAGAATTTTAAGAATGATGCATAAGAAGTGAATTCATGGCTCCATAAAACAGATCAGAGATGAAAAGCAGGGATGAAGACTCTAGTGTGCATGGTTCTTTGTGTGCAATGAGTTCTATTCTGGTGAAGGAAAAATAAGGGAGGATAATTCAGCAGTACCTGGAACTGCTACCTTTCAACTGATGAACATGTGCATCAACCTTTTTGAAGTCTATATTTGGCTGATCTCTGTGTTGAAGAATTCAGTTGTGAAAACAGGAAACAAAATGGAAATCAAAAGAAATACCACAGTTATGGGTCATTTGGAATCCACAACAACCAAAAGGAAACCCCAAAACTCTAGCCAAAACACGGATGCAGAAAGAAAGAGTTCTTACAGAGCCCTAGTGAGGTCATTGAGGAGCTTTTCAGAGTCTTCAAAGAAGAGAGAAACCACTTCAACAACAAAATCTGGGTTGCTCTCATCTTGTAGCTGCTGAAGCTGTAAAAACTGAGCATCCAAGAACCTCTTTTTCCACCACCAACAAACATAAAAACCAAAGCATAAGATCAAAAACCCAGAAAGGAGAAACCAAGAAAAAGCAACAAAAACTCCACAACAAATCAAACCAACCAAAACAAAACAAACCCAAATGGAAGATTTGCTTTACCTCCATAAACAGAGATTTTGTGTGATCAACCCACCTCCTCTGGATATCCACCTCCATGTCTTGGCCTTTGTTTTTTTGTTCCTCTCTTCTCTGCAAGAAAACACACCCTTTATGATCCCAAACAAAGCTAGGGGCTTAAATTGCAGATCTTAGTGGAATTATTGCACAATCAAAAGAAAGGAAGCATAATTGTTTACGACCCTTGACAGGGATTTGATGAATTAAATGCGTAGGTGCAAAAATCCAAAAATTTTCCCTCCTGCTTTTAGTTATTGTCTGTAGTGCGTTTTAGTTACTGTCTGGTAGCACTACAGTCCCACTCTTGCTTGCCTTTTTTTTATTTGTCCATCCATCCTTCCTATGGATTTGTGCTTCTGTTTTTGGGCATTTTCTCACAGAATCACAGCCCCCACTTTCTGCATACTTTTTGGATAATGTATTTACCACTCCCTCCATTTATGAAAAAAAAAAAATTAAAAAGGCTCATTAACCTAAACCTCCTTCCTTCTTCACCCTCTTTACTTGCCATTTTTTTCTTTTAGTAAGTTTCACAGTGCTTTTATTTTCCTCTTTATTTTTCTGATGTGTTAGTGCTTTTACTTTGTATCTTCATCGTCATATATTACCATTTCCCGTTTAACCCTGAACCTCCATCCATGATCATAATGGAAAGTTAGCATTGCAACCTTGAATCAAGATTTTACATACAGTTTTCACCAACTTGGCTAACCTATTGTTGGTTTCAAGGGTAAAGTATACATCAGTTAAGAAAAGGAGAAACTTGTTTAGAAAAACATCATTAAATTTAACTTTCAGCATTGAGTGGACAATCAGTGGTCCATGGGTGACCCCAGAAAGGAAAAACAAACAACAGTCCTGGAAAGAAGAAGACAAGAGATGTGGCATCATCGGTCCCTCCAAATATGTAGCCCTCATGGGACATGTTCTGTCAAAAATAGCTGGAAAATTCTTCTTTGACTGAAACCCACTTTTGCTTCATTTCATCATTAAAGCAAGGGACAATCTTTTACACGGAAGGAATTTGGTCATTAGTTGACTAATGTAATTACACAACACTTTCAAGAGTAAATTTTCCATCTTCCAGAACCATGCCAGATGGTGAAATCTGATAGGTGACAACACCTGATTCATGGGTGTTGTGTAAGAATTTGGCTTCTTCGTGTTATTACAGAGATTAATGTTAATTCTTTTAAGGGGTCAAAGGGTTAAAGAATCTTGTTTTCCAGCTAATCTCAGGTTTTGATTTAGTTGGTTTTTCATGAACTCATGCAGGAGGGACAGCTGGAGCTGAAGATATGTTTTTTTCGGCCGACCAAGTTGAAGATATGTTTAAAATGATGCTCTTTTTCTTTTATTATAGCAACATCTCATCCTATTGTTTTAGCATTTT